GTGAAGTCTGTTTTCATGCACATCACATTCAGTGGGGGGAGAGACAGGCAATAAAGAAAGAAAGAAATGCATGTCCGAGGGAAAAACCAATGGGCTGTGAAGCTGGGCAAGGCCAAAGATGCTTTTTTATGAGAACAGTAATTATGAAGCTAGTGAACCTAGGTGATATTTGAGTGGAGAGCTGAGTGAGGTGAGGGAGTCAGTCATGTAACAAGATGGAGGAAGAATGGATCCTGGATAGAAGGAAGGGGAGGGCAAAGCTCTTGAAGTAGAAACACACCTGCCATGTTTGAAGATCATCAAGAGCTGCCAAGTATCCAGAGCCTTTTAGGCCAGGGGAAAGACTTTACACAATGTCCACACAACAGACTGTAAGCAGCCAAGTGGAGTAGCCCGTTAAGGGTACCACAGTAACCGAGTCAAGACCTGGCACCTCGAAATCGAGTTGAGCAGTGGAGGTGATGGCAAGTACTCAGACATGTTGTGAATGCAGAGGCAGCAAGATGTGCTTCAAGGATCAATTCGGTTCATGAAAGGAAGGGAGGAGCAGGGATTATCCCAAAGTTTTTTTGGCCAGAGCTCTGGGAAGAAAAGAGCTGCCATTTACTGGAATGGTGAAGACTGCCGAGCCAGCAGATTTGAGGGTCAGGGTGTGTGCATGGTGTGTGTGTGTGTATGAATCAAAAGTTCAGTTTCAGACTTAAGAAGCCTTTTTAAGCATCCAGGTGCTGAAGCAATGCCTGCCACATAGTAAGCAATGTTTATTGTTTTTTTAAAGATTGATTTATTTGTTTGAAAGCCAGAGTTACATAGAGAGAGAGGGACAGACAGAGAGGTCTCCTGTCTGCTGCTTCACTCCCCAAATGGTCACCAATGGCCACAGCTGGGCTGATCTAAAGCCAAGAGCTTCATCTGGGTCTTCCATGTGGGTTCAGGAGCCCAAACACCTGGACCATCTTCCACTGCTTTCCCAGACCATCAGCAGAGAGCCAGATCAGAAGTGGAGCAGCTGGGACTCGAGCCAGTGCCCATATAGGATGCTGGCACTGCAGGCAGAGGCTTAACTTACTATGCCATAGCACTGACTGTGGGGAGCAGCCCGGACTGGACTGAGTTACTGGAATTAAGACTTATTCTATGCATCTGCTCTCCCACAATATGGCGCTGGGAGAGAAGTAAACAGCTTCCGCACAGCTGCCTCCAGTTCAACCAATAAACTGTAGGACTTGCTCCTGATTGGAGAGCAGCGTACTCGGCTTGTGGGCAGCCGAGTTAGGATTGGTGGAGGAGGACTATAAAGGAGGAGAGAGACGGCATGCACGAGGAACATCTAAGGGGAACATCTAGCTGAAGGAACACCTGTGCAGCCCCCGAGAAGAGCCGGCCGGCGGTGTGCCGCTCCCCTGCGGAAGTGGGGAATGTGGCCAGGGGGAACTGCCCTTCCACGGAGGTGGAAGGGATAGTAGCCAACCCGGGAAGAACCAGCAGCAAACCCGGGGAGGGCCGAGCAGACGAAAGAACAGCGCAGGGTCTTGTGTCGTTCCTCCACGAAGAGGGGGAGCGACATAATGGTGCCGTGACTCGGATAGGAAACCTAGAACGGATAGGAAACCTAAGAGGGAAGAAACGGGAAGAAGTGGGAAAATACCGGAGAGAGAGACTAGTAAACAGCCTAGGTGCCGGAAGAAGCTATTGAAAGCCTAGGCAGAGACTCGGATATGGACTGTGGGAAAGAAGTTAGGATTTAAAGTGAAAGCAAGAAGAAACTTAGACTCAGATACGGACTGCAGGTTGAAAGTGAAAGTGAAACCTATAAGAAACTTAGACTTGGATACGGACTGTGGGGAGAGGCCAGGAGAAATGAGGGAGGAATATTGTTGGAAGAAAACTTAGGGAAACATACCAGGTAGAGAAAAATGTTAGGGAGGATGAAGCCGCGAGTGCAGGCCAAGCCATCTTGGAATTCTTCAAGTCACCCCGGGGAGCAAGAGGCGAAGATCTGGAACCAGAGGCAGAGACGTGGGCCGCCAGGATTCGCCAGGTTAGTCCGGGGAACTTGGACTGAATGCCGGTGGTGGCGGAAACATTCGCGGAAGCCGCCACGTGCAGAGAGAGCACGGGGCGTTGGCGTGAGGCCGTGGTGCGGGCGCGAAGTGCGTGGAGACCGCGGAGCGTGCGCGCAGAGCCGGGAACCCGCCGGCGGGGCGAGGCGCCGGGAAGCCGCGCAGAGCCGTGAAGCTGCCGCGGGGCGAGGTGCCGAGAAGCAGCCTCGGGGCGAGCGCCGCCGGGAAGCCGCAGGGATAAGAGAAACAGAAGTTTAGAAGTAAAATGAGAGAAATAGGAATGCTGGAAGATAGAAGTAAAATGGGAGAAATAGGAATGCCCGGAGATAGAGAAATAGAGAAATAGAAAGGCCTCCCCTCAACATGGCAATGAGAAGGCTTGGATTCGGTTTGCCTGATTGTTAGGGCTTGTAAGCCCCTGCGGGCAGAGCATGCGCTGCAGGGCACCGAATACAGGCACGCATCAGCGCCTAAAAACCTCCTCACAACATGGCGACGAGAGGACCCGGATTCGGTTTGCCTGATTGATAGGACTTGTAAGAACCTGTGGCAACTCTAGCAAGTAGAGCAGAGTGTGTGCCGCGGGACACCGAAGACAGGCGCGTATCAACGCCAAAAAATAAAAAGAAAGGGGGATCTGTGGGGAGCAGCCCGGACTGGACTGAGTTACTGGAATTAAGACTTATTCTATGCATCTGCTCTCCCACAATATGGCGCTGGGAGAGAAGTAAACAGCTTCCGCACAGCTGCCTCCAGTTCAACCAATAAACTGTAGGACTTGCTCCTGATTGGAGAGCAGCGTACTCGGCTTGTGGGCAGCCGAGTTAGGATTGGCGGAGGAGGACTATAAAGGAGGAGAGAGACGGCATGCACGAGGAACATCTAAGGGGAACATCTAGCTGAAGGAACACCTGTGCAGCCCCCGAGAAGAGCCGGCCGGCGGTGTGCCGCTCCCCTGCGGAAGTGGGGAATGTGGCCAGGGGGAACTGCCCTTCCACGGAGGTGGAAGGGATAGTAGCCAACCCGGGAAGAACCAGCAGCAAACCCGGGGAGGGCCGAGCAGACGAAAGAACAGCGCAGGGTCTTGTGTCGTTCCTCCACGAAGAGGGGGAGCGACAACTGACCCTGGTAATGTTTATTGCGTGAAAAACGTTAAGATATATAGTGAGGCAATTGGATTTTTAAAATCCAAGTATATCTAACTATGAACTTATAGGTATTTCTAAACATGTTTACACTTAAATTTCTAACCCTGAGGATTTGTTGTCATCTTGCACTTTTGGGTACTGGATGAGCTACTGGAGATCATCCAACACATGCATTCTCAAGAAATGTAAGGACTGTGGATTAAGGCACCAGAAATTAAAGCTAAGAACCATGTTCATGGTGCAGCTAGAACTTGCCATCAGGCCTTCTGATTTGCAATTTGTTGTTCCACATTACACCAAACTCTCCTTGCCCCATGGCACATTACTGCTGTTCATATTATTGAGTGAACCATTTTTTCACTTATTTGAAAGGCTTTCTTTACAGAACCGGCTAGTTGGAATCTATTTCACACACCATTACATGGAAGTGAAAACTGCTATCTGTAAGGTAGTCAAAATGCTTAATCCTCTGGCAACAAGTTCAGATGTGTCAAAAATAGCAATGGTAGTTAGTTGTGTATTATATAGATAATACATATTATTTCACAATCACATGTTTAGCAAAGAAACTTTACGTCTGCATAGCTAGGATAAGACTCTACTTGAAGTATACAGACAAAAACAAATGAAAAAGATTTCTTAAGGAAAAATTCAATTTTTTAGAAAAGTGAAAATGCCTGTTGAGGACCACCGATCAGGTAATGCCAGACCCAGCAGAATAAGCAGATCTTCGTGGAGCTGTCAGGAAGAGGTTTGTTTTTGGGATATGTGATCATGGGCTTTAAGAAAATGAATACGATTTGTCAGGCAGGATATTCTAGGCCAGGAAAATATGTGGCAGAAATGCTACAGGGTAGAAGTCCACACCCAGGTGTAACAGAACTGGATTGCTGATAGCTAAGGGTGGAGGAGGCAATTAAAGCTCTACTCACGAGCTGAGTAGCTCACAACTGACTTCTGAACAGCAATGAATCTCATCAAAACAAGGTATTTGTGTTGTTCGGTTTTGCTGCCAATTATACATGTAAACAGGTACCACTGAAGGCAGATTTTTACATTCATACATCTCTCAGCATTCGTCAGTATCTGTCAATGTTTCTCATATACTTTCAGATACAGCTTTTTAAAAAGTCAAGACAGGTTATGCAAATGTTTTCCCAAATAAAAGCCCCTAAAGAGCAGAAGTGTGCACTCATTATCCAGAAAGGCGAGGAGAGGGGCGATTCATGCTAGCGTGCTGCAAACTTTAAGCCAGGAAGGCTGTGTTTAACCAGTGAGATAGTGCCTTTAAAAGTGTTTAGTAAAGTGGCCTGCAGTAAACACTTAACAAATTACGGTTTATTACTTTGACCTTACACGTCTTTTCACCTGTTGGGATTCAAGTGTCTCCTTCTCAGAAGAAACGGGTCACAGAGGTTTCTGAGGCTGCTAACAGCCCCGACAATCTATTAGGCGACGACTAAATATTTGCTGAACAGACGAGAACCCGTGTCTTCCGCCTGAGGGCCCACCCGTGAACCTGCCCGTTGGCAAGTTCCACACGTCGTGTTTGGGAGTGGAAGACACCACATACCCCTCAGCCACGACCAGCAGGCTGGTCTGAGCCTGAGTCCCAGTCGCAAAGTCAGTCCCGCCCGCCGCGAGCCCTTCTTGCTAACTCCCCGCCCCACCCGCGGCCCAAGTCACTCCCCAGTCATCCTAGCCTCGTTCCGCCTTCACAGCGCCCACGACACGCCTCTTCCGGTCCAAGTCCCGCCCCTCACGCCCACGGCCCTGCCCCTTCGGCTCGGCCCCACCCCTCCGGCCCCGCCCCGCCGCGAGCTCGGCGCCTGGTCCTCTCAGCGGCCGACGGCAGCCTAGTCCACCCTCGACGCTCTGAGGTCAGCGGCTGGGCCGGAGTGCGGGGGGCGGAGGGACGGAGGGAAGATGGCGGCAGAGGCCGGATATTGGCGCCGCCTCCCCCAATCCTGGAGCCGGCGCAGATGAGGCGGCTCGGCTGGGGCCAGCGGTGCTTCGGAACCCGAGCTGGGGGGACCCTGGCGGTGGAGCCTGGGCCTGCTATATGCCGGCGCCTCGGCTAGAGTGAGCGGCGGCGGCGGCGACGCCTCTTTCCTCCGGCTCATTCCTTGTCGCGGTGAGGCCGAGCTAGTGGCGGGCGGCGGAGGCGGCGGGGCAGGGATGGAGGACGTTAACTCCAACGTGAACGCGGACCAGGAGGTGCGGAAGCTGCAGGAGCTGGTGAAGAAGCTGGAGAAGCAAAACGAACAGCTGAGGAGCCGCTCTGGGGCCGTGCAGGGCGCAGGCCCTCTCGGGCCCGGCAGCCCTATTCGGGCGGGCGCGTCCACTCCCTCCTCCGGCGCGGCGTCCCCTCGGGGCTTCCCCCTGGGCCTCAGCGCAAAGTCGGGCAGCGGCGCCGGGTCGGGCCCGAGGCGGACGAGTAGCGAGGAGCTGCGAGACGCCACCTCCTTGCTGGCGGCGGGCGAGGGCGGCTTGCTGGACGAGGTGGAGCCGCTGCGGCCCGAGGAGCTGGAGCGCCTGTCAGGCTGGGAGGAAGAGGAGGAGAGCTGGTGAGCGCGGGGTGCCTGGGCTGGGCGGAGATGGGCCGGGGGCGGAGGAGCGGCTCCCGAGGGTCCCGGTGGTGGGGACGCCTGGCTTTGTGTGGCAGGGTCCGCTGTGTGGGGGTGTGGGGGGAGACTCGTAGGAGGGTCCGCTAGAGTTGGGGATTCGAAGGCGTGCGCAGGCAAAGGGGCATAGTTCTCTGGGTTGTTGGACCCTCGGGGAGCTGGACGCAGTTGGCATCTGTGGGTTGGCACAGCTTGAGTAGGGCTGGTCGCCGTGGGAGGAGTCGGACATAGGGAACTGCCTTGTAGGAAAGGATCTTGCTTTGTGTGAGATAGCAGCTTTCGGATATCAGGGCGGGGGGCTGGGAGGTAGAGGTCTGCTTGATGAGGTGCCCCCCGGGTGCAGGGGGCAGAGCAGAGTCGTCTGCCTGTGTGTTGCGGTCAGTGTCTTGGACCGGTGTGAGATGGATGCGGTTCTGGCGGGGCTGGGGAGACTGTGTGAATCAGCACTCCCCCATGGGTAGTAGGGCAAAGCTGGCTTTGTGTGGAGAGGGCAGAAGATGGGGCTGCTTTGTGTGAAGAGTCAAGAGTGGAACAGGAGCCCTGGCTCTTGTTTTTAAACAAGAATTGGCTCTGGCATTTTTCGAAGCTGTGAAGTGACAGTTAACCACATTCATATGCCGTTTCTCTTGTCATCCTTGGGGTTGAGCAAAAGAGCCCTATTTTAAAATCTAAGCCGTACTGTATTGTCATAAGCCACTTGATGAAATTGTGACCCACACTTTAATATCATGTTAATAAATAAAAAGGACATACTCTCTCCCCCGCATTTTATTGCAACCCAATACAGATGTCTGTGAACAATACTTTCTCCTATTTCATCCTCTTTAAAGTGTTAACTTTTGGCTAAAATGTCTCAATTCTTTCTTGAAATTGAAACTTCCGAGTTTGATTGAAAGCTTTCATGGACCCTGGTATTGCGGGACTGGAACTTTGAGGTGTTCCGAGATAGTTAGGAGTTTTGCCTGGATTCAGTCCCTGGCTTTGTCACTAGCTGCATGACCTTGGGCAAGTTGTTCAGGGGTTCACTTTCTTCCTCTACTTGATGGAGAAAAGAGGAGTTCTTACCTCTTTAGAGTTGTGCAGAGTGAGTGAGATAATCTGTGTGTGCTGTTAGCATTGGGCTCGGCATATAGGAGACTCCAAGACTAGTTATTACTCGTAAGCCTAGTTATTTAAATAAATATTTAGTGAGCTCTTACGTGATGTCATGGGAGATTCTAAAAATTCTTAAGTGTTGATCTCTGATCATGAGTCAGTTACTGTTTTGTTGAGAGCTAAGTTTAACACAAGTAAGCTAGGATGTATACCTTGACTTGCCAGAAGAGTGATAGAGCAAAAAAATACCTACAGTGCTCAGATTGGGGAAGAAAATCATAGTTCGAAGCAGTTAGGACAGACTTTGTAGGTAGCTTTAGGGTTGGGTTGGGCAAAGAGTAGAAAGGACATTCTGTGCTCTAGCAATTCCAGGAGGTATTTGTAACTCCTAACTAGGAAGATTTAAATTACAGAGGTACTCTTGAATATAGTGATGTCAAGACTTTATATGTTAGTGCTGAGTGATTCCAAATATTATTAGAACTGACTATGATAGTGACAGGTTTTTGTATAAGTGTGAAATCACGCCCTCCCTAAGGAATGCTGAGCGTGTATGCACTTTAAAAGAATCGCAGAATCATCGGAATATCATTGCCTGCTTCTTCCAAGTAGTGATGATAATGATGCTCTTAATAATGAGGATTAGCAGCACTCATCAGCCCATTTTAGAATATGTATTATTAGAACACATTGACTGCACTGGAGAATTTGATTAAATCTTTGCTGCTTTGGTTTATGAAGGTGAAGCAAATCTTTGATACTATGCCAGTTGTTTCTTTTGACCAGATTCCTGCTTAATAATTTGATCTTGACTTCATATCTTAATATTGTAGGTATGATAGTTTTTTTCTGAAAAGATTTATGTGAACTGCACGTTGGAAAAGTCATTTCAGATATGTTGGATATGTATTGGGTATGTAAGTTGAAGGGTGTATGTATCAGTGGCAGGAAGATTCATAGACTCAAGGGTTGTTTCTTTTGTAGCAAGCTAAAAAAATCTATCTTCTGTAACTTCTATCCATTGCATCTTTTTCATCTAGAAGAATGTTTTCCCTTAAGTGTTTACACCACAAAATACTAATTTTGAAGGTGTCAATAGGTATTATGTAAAACAGCACATAAAAAAGTTTTGGGGTTACATAAATATGGGGGAAACTGGGTTCAACCAAAATTAACAAATTTTTAAAAAATTTTTTGGAGGGAATGCAAATGTGTACTGAACAGAATGAATCTCTGGGGCATGGTTTGTTAACCGGACTTAGCTCCAGAAGAACTAGTATCATAGAACATACTTAGAAATAATAGTGATCGAGAGCAGTGGCTTTCACACTTTTTATTTATTTATTTATTTTGGCCTCAACTTTATGATACAGAATGTATTTGTAACCTAGCACATGTATATATAAGAATAACCGAAATAAGTTTTACAAAACTGATTCTTTTACTCACAGTAGTAAGCTCTCCATAATGTACTTTTTTGTTTATTTATTTATTGACAGGCAGAGTGGACAGTGAGAGAGAGAGAGACAGAGAGAAAGGTCTTCCTTTTGCCGTTGGTTCACCCTCCAATGGCCGCCGCGGCCAGCGTGCTGCGGCTGGCACATCGTGCCGATTCGAAGCCAGGAGCCAGGCGCTTCTCCTGGTCCCCCATGCAGGTGCAGGGCCCAAGCACTTGGGCCATCCTCCACTGCCTTCCCGGGCCACATCAGAGAGCTGGCCTGGAAGAGGGGCAACCGGGACAGAATCCGGCACCCTGACCAGGACTAGAACCTGGTGTGCTGGCGCCGCAAGGCGGAGGATTAGCCTAGTGAGCCACGGCGCTGGCCCGTAAGCTCTCTTCTAATGAATTAGAAAAAATGTTGATTATCACCCATTAAACTGATTTCGTGATCCTTTTAATGCAGGGGTGAGGTTAGCCCTTACATGATCCACAAAATCATTTGATCTGGCCCTGCCAAGACAACCACAGGCGGGACTTGAAATTTCCATAAATCTATAGCAAGCCAATTTTAAGTTGATAATTTTGTGTGACCTGCAAATGATGTTACAAACATCCAAATGGCTCTTGGCACAAAAAAGTTTACCACCCTTTCATGATAGTGGATCGTAACTCTCAGAAAAATACTGTTCTAGACTAACTCAGAAAAGTCTAAGTAAGGGATCTCACGTTATTGTGCTTCTCAGTGTGTCAGGATGTACCAGACAGCTTATAAACATTTTTTTTTTTATTTCACAGGTAGAGTTATAGACAGAGAGAGAGAGAGAAAGGTCTTCCTTCCATTGGTTCACTCTCCAAATGGCCGCTACGGCCGGAGCTGCACCGATCCAAAGCCAGGAGCCAGGTGCTTCTTCCTGGTCTCCCATGTGGGTGCAGGGGCCCAAGCACTTGGGCCATCCTCCACTGCCTTCCCCGGGCCACAGCAGAGAGCTGGACTGGAAGATGAGCAACTGGGACTAGAACCCAGTGCCATACAGGATGCTGGTGCCGCAGGCAGAGGATTAACCAAGTGAGCCATGGCACGGGTCCCAACATTTTTGCATTTAATTGCATTGAAGTTTTATACATTTATGAGATAGTATCTTTTCCAGGATAAGGGAACAATAGCTCTGTAAGCATTAAAGAACATATAGTAGTAAGTGATGGGGTTGGGATTTGAATCCATCTCTGTATACATCAAAGTTTATGCAGTTCCCACTATGTTTTGGCTTTTCAAGTATAATCCCTTTTCCAGATAAGTGGTCCCTTCGGATATTTACTATCACATCCCTTGTAATCTCTTCTTACCATACGTTGTTTTCTCCAGACACATAATTCTAGTTTATTTAATCACTTTATAGACATAGTAACTCTGATACTTCAGTCATGGCTATGTTTTTTCTTAACTCTAGGTGCTCTTTGTTGTTAGAGGTTAGGTACCCAAAATTATAATCAGCATTTTAAATCATGCTCAACCAGATGGTGTGTGGTAGATATACCTTGCTTGAGCTAAATGCTATTTATTTTTTTTTAAAGATTTATTTTATTTATTTGAAAGAGTTACAGAGAGAAGTAGAGCGAGAGAGAGAGAGAAAGAGAGAGGCAGGCCCTCCATCCACTGGTTCACTCCCCAAATGACCACAACCACCAGAGCTGAGCTGATCCTAAGCCAGGAGCCAGGAGCTTCTTCCGGGTCTCCCATGTGGGCGCAGGGGTCCAAGCACTTGGGCCATCTTCCACTGCTTTCCCAGGCCACAGCTTAGAGCTGGATCAGAAGAGGAGCAGCTGGGACCCAAAGCAGCGTCCATATGGGATGCCGGCGTTGCAGGCTGTGGCTTTAACCCACTGTGCCACAGCACCGCCCCCTAAATACTGTTATTTAAAAAATATTAATAACATTCAGCTATTTTAAAAATGGTTTTCTTTTCCTTCATTTATTTGAGAGACAGAGATGGAAAGGTAGGTAGAGTGAAAGAGGTAAAAAGATATCTCCTATCCCCAAATTCATTTACCAAATGCCCTCAACACCTGAGCTGTGCCAGGCTGAAACTGGGAGCCAGGAACCCAGTCTGGATCTCTTACATGGGTGGCACAGACCCAAGTACTTGAGCCATCACCTGCTGCCTCCCAGGATGCATGTTAGCAGGAAGCTGGAATTGGGAGCAGAACTGGAACTTTAACCCAGTCACTGTGATACAGGATGCAGGTGTCCCACATGGGTTTCTTTTTTCTTTTTAAAGATTTTATTTATTTATTTGAGAGGTAGAGTTACAGACAGTGAGAGGGAGAGACAGAGAGATAGGTCTTTGTCCGTTGGTTCACTCCCCAGTTGGCTGCAGTGGACAGAGCTGTGCTGATCCGAAGCCAGGAA